GACTGTACTCGCTCGAACGAAGGTTAAGGAGGGGCGATCTCATCCAGGCTTTCAAGATAATTAAAGGAATAGATAATGTCGAGTGTGGTAGGTTTTTCCAGTTTGATGACAGCAAGAGAACGAGAGGTAACCGACTTAAGTTGCGCAAACCGCAGGTGCGGCTCAGGTCGAGACAGGAATTTTTTACTTGCAGAGTGGTGAACGCGTGGAACGCGTTAGATGACGAAGTAGTGGCTGCCCCGCGCTGTGACTATCTTTAAGAAGAAACTGGATTCTTTCATGGACAGGCAAAAGGTGGGGGGCAATGTTGACGTTAGGTACTAGACAGTAAGCAACTAGAATAGTAAAAAAAAAAAACCAAAATATTTAGCTTTAAGAGGGTTAGGTCTACCCTAAACTTAAGGAACGCTCGACCTCGATACGTGATATCGAAATGGGCGAAATCGCCTCTTGATGTCACTAACTACCTTCAACCTTGAACCTTGAACCTGTCAATACCTCGGTAAGGGACTCGAGGCTTGTCAATACGTTGGTAAGGGACTCGAGGCTATAAATGGCGGATCTAGGTGTTCCTGGCACTCGTCAGCCATCCTGTCAACATTTCTAAAGCCATTCTTATATGATAATCTCCTCTCCCCCCAGGAGCGTCGTGTCAGTGTCCGGCGGAGAGGTCAAAAGGAAATCGCCCTCTTCCCTCAGGGAAGAAGATGAATAGCACTTGAAAACTCATTTGAGATTGAAAGTGTGGCGAGATAGGGCCGGATAGACTATACCTTCACTGACAATTAACTACTACTGACAACGAACCACCGCTGGTGCTAGGAGTAGTTGAAACCTCTTACAATGACAATGAACTAATATTGCACACTTGTTCTTGTTCCCACTTAGGAAAATCAAAATCAACCTGTAATGATATCCACAATACAATCAATTCGTAAAAGAAAATAATAAAAGTGTGAAATTGCGTCTCTAAGACGTTCAGAGGCATGATGTCAAACGGAATACTTAAATAGTGAATTTATAATTTAAATATGATTTTTAGCGGGAACCCGGATCTTCCATGCACCCATACTGCATCAACAAACGTCGGAATAAGATAGGTAGAAAAGAGACGAGACTCACTTTCAGGAAACCTTCAGTTTCATCAAGTTGAAGTAGAATTTTCCTGATGCCAACACCATCAAAAACGTGATTCTTAACTTGGATGCGACCTTCTTCTCGCATTTTCGTCCACAGTCCCAAATGTTCCTCGATGTTGTCGATGATGATGAGCTGAGTTCTGGGACGGGACAGCACTTCAAGGATCCACTCGTCTCTCACATTAACGGAGACGATAACGGAAGCCTCACAACCTCGGAAATCTGCCGAATGCGTTATCCGTATTTCAGACAGATATTTGGGATAGTTATTTGAATCCCAATAATCCTTCAGAGCCTTTCTTAGCTTTTCATCTGATGTGAGGATATGTGTTGTTTTACTATCTCCTATTTTTCCTAAGGATGATTGGATCAGAAAAGATAGTCCAGGGATCGTGTCCTTTATGAATTCACACGAGCTGATTCCCTCGCATGCATACCCCAGGTGTCGACCGGAGCAGCAGTAACAGATGTACTGGACCGGTAGACCAAGAACAGGTGCTCCGGGAAGCGCAGATGTCAATAGACTCTTCGCTTCCAAGTTCAAAACGGTGGGAGACTCATTTTCTTGTATGAGGGTAAGGAGGTGCATATTGGTCGCTTGCGACCGAAGCACCATGACATGGCAGTCACGATTCATCTGTATCGCATTCATCATACTTTCCACTGAGATGTCTGTATCCTTTGCATGGGGTTTGAATGCGAGAATAAGCTTCATCTTTAACGCCTGCAACCTCTCCGAGATTTTCCTGACTTCTTCATTCGTCTCTCGCCACAAAGGAGAATCTTCTACGACAACAAACAAAGGAATCATCCCTTCCTTCTCCTCCGTCTTCCTTCGAGTTTCTTTCACTTCCGGATGGTCGATGATGCCCTGAAGAGATTTGACTTGACTAGTATCTAAATGAAGAACATTCACGTTAACGTGATCCTGCCAGCGCTCTCGGTAAAGTTTCCAAGACAAAACGCCACCAGAGTGGAGAAGAATAACTTCACCTCCCTGTTCCATCACTCGTTCAATCAACATGGCTACCCTCCTGGATTTTCCAGATGTCGGGTTACCAAATATTCCGCATATGCAGGAGGCAAGCATGTTGGCCACATCTTCCTCCTCTTCTCCTTCCCTCCCATCCCAATCAATATCCATTTCAGGTAGAGGTGCAGTGGGGAATGCTGACTTATCCAGATGGTTAATTTTCCCCTTTTCCTCAAACACTTCCCACGCCATTCGTGATAAAATTTTCAACTTTTTTCGACTGTCTGTTTCAATCATGTCAAACCCCATGATGTTAAATCCGCTGATTTCGTTTAAAAGATGAGAGAATTTTCCTGTTGTTAAATCTTCTTCATCGATCATGAGGATCTTGTTATCACCAGAAGTTGCTACCACTCGATTGTAGTTCTTCCATCGCGAAGAGAAAACATCCACGACTATTATGACGTTCATCAGATGGCATCCCATCATTTCATCTTCGGTCACGATGAAGAGGGGGGTCGAGGTGTCAGTGACGGGCCTGCCTCGCAAGTCTCCATTGTTATCAAGGAAAAGGACAGGAAGAGATTGATGGAATAAGGTGAGGATGTTCACAAGCGCTACTTTCTTCATCTCATCATCAACTACGACAAAGAGAGGCATCGCCTTCGATGACATGAAGCATTCTTCATGCATTGAGCGAAGGGCATAAGAGACCCTGACGGCGCAGCAAACCATTTCGTCCTTGCATTTTCCAGGATGAAGTGATAAGCACGATGGAAGTGGAAAAAGGTTAGGGAGAAATCCTCTCCCCGACATTCCCGTATTGATTCGAAGGGTCCTCTCTCGCGATACGAAGGTAGGGCGGGAGTAACCCCCAATCGCTAAAAACAGCTCAGATATTCTCCTCCCATTCCTCTTCACTTTGTCCAGTATATGTATCTGGCAACCTCCCGGTTTGACATCCTGGAGGCGGATGAATCTTGTGTAGGACTGATCATTGGGTCTGAATGAGATAGCGACAGACAGGACAAGGTTCCTCAAGGACTCTGGGACCCACTTCCAGTGATCGGAGAGATTTTCCGCGCTGATGATGCTTTTGAATCCGAGTGTGAGGGGGACTTCGTCGATGAGGAGATGTTTTTCCTTCCCCATCTCCTCCAGGAATCTCTTGAACTTTTCCAAGTCATCCTCGAACCCCTTCTCCCTCCCATCAATTACTTGGATTCTCCTGTTTCCTGTTGGAAGAGGCATGCTTTCGCTTTCATCAATGCTACATGAACATCCCAAATGAAAAATCACCACTCTAGTTTCACATTCTACATAGCAAACATTTATTGCAGCAAAGACACGTGAAGGTATTGCACGCCAAAAGAAGCAAATGGAAGCTTTTTGCATGAATGATGCGTTCTTAGGTCTAAGATCATGATGTACTTTCAGACGTTCTTGTTAGTGAATTGTTTTGCTCATAGTAGAAAATAAGTATGACTTTAATCATTACTAAATATGTCTCACCCTCGAAGTTGACATGGAATTCTTCAGTGAGAAGTCCCCCGGCGACATTGATCAGTAAGACTTCGCCCTTCTTCGCCAACATCAACGCTTTTTTCTTGAGAACAAATGTTTTTCCAGTCCCACTCCCACCGCATATGAAGGTGACCTTTGATTCCCTCTGCACTAGTTCCTTCTGCTGAGGAGTGAGGATCACCAGCATGGGCTTCATTTGTTTCTCACTTTTGTCAATTAACTCGGTAACGTTACGCGGCAGATCCACAGCCGATGCAGCACAAATGTATAAGGTAAAAATTTCCTGGAAGGTATCCGTAACTTCAGACTCATGATTCCCATCCAAAAACTTCTCTACCACGATTCCCTGTCCATTCAAAAACTGCCGGAAACTTTCTGGGCTTTTCAGATCTTCTGAGGTGAGAATTCGTTGCCTACAATCTTGGCACTGGATCACTTTCTCCAAATGAAGCCTCGAAAGCATAGGAAAAGCCGTGAAGCCGGCTAACTTCACACTGGAATTCAGAAACGTCCCACACGTCGTCTGGAAAATGTTGAAGTCTTTCTGGAGTTGATTTGTCGCTTTTATGTGCATATCGATAATACTATTCGGATTTATCCCCGCCGTTGCCTTGATTTGAAAGAAAAGTCCCAAGATGTTCTCGCCAGATATACCAACGCCAAATACATCGTGGTCACCAGATGCCAAATCCTCCTTGGTAACTCCAAATCGCTTCATGAACTTCTCTTTCTTTTGTTGATTGATGCCCTTGAGTAAGGTGTCTGTGAAGGCGTAATTAGCGACCGTGAGGGATGGCACATCTTTCAATGCATCTTTGAGTTTGTCGAACACTTCTGCAACTGCTAGATCCTCCGGGGGAATATCCACTTCTTCATCACTTCGGGCTTTTCCGGTCAGGATATTTATTTTATTTTTACTCAAGATGTACCCTTCAGGCAAGGAATATGCTCTAGTGCAGGCTTCGGGGCAGTGCATCTCCACGTACTCACATGCGGCGTCTTTAAATGGTCTTTCATCACCCGCTCCCATATATATTTTGAGGTGATCCCGAATATCCAACTTTCCTCTCCTTTTGTAGCTTTGGAGGTGCCCAAAGTGTGAAAACTCCTCGCAGATCTTGCATGTCGTCTCGGGTGCCTGAACGATGAGAGTGCTTCGATTTAATTCTACTCTTCCACAAAGAGCAGAGCACGAGTTTGGAAGGAAGAGTTAGGAAGGAAGAAGGCTGAATGTGACCACCTGAATGTGTCTTCGCTGAATGTGTCGGAGTGCATATGCCATTTTTCCCATTTGAAAGCCACTGATGTACGAGATGCTATCGGAGAATTCCGAGAAACTTCTTTCGATATAGAACGGTAATGGATTTGATTCAGAAATAAAGAACCGATGCGAAGAACCTCGTTCCCTTAGTTTTGTTAATCCTCCTGTAGACGAACTCTTTACACGTCTCAATGTATTAGATCTCAGGACTTCATCAAGTTTGTGAATGGGTTTCGCTAATTCGGGTTATCCCTATTCTGACCATCCAGAATGGAAATAACTACTATATCAAACAGAAAACATTTCTCTTCCACTGGAGAACGATTGCACGACTGTGCATTTGCAGATTAAGACAGCTCTAAACGGATAAATGTAACCCTATCGGTACGAGTTAAGACAGATCTCATTTGCTCACGAAATGCTACACTTTCCTGAAAATACAATTTTGTTACTCTCATGATGCTAGTACTGCAGATGAGGGATTCCCACAAGATGGCATTGGAAAAATGTTATTCCCGCTGGAATCTACAGGGTGCGCACAAAGTCCGAATAACCCCCTATATGTACGTCAAGCTGACGCGAGCAATCATGCCACGTTCGTGCTTGTGACCTTCGCACGACCTTGGCACGTGTTCTCCCGCTGTCACAAGGTCTGCTTTCGTACTTACCAACAATCGCAATGCGTGGCGTAGGAACACATACGGATGTTTTGCATTCCTAAGAGGTACGTTCCACCTTTTGTGATACGTATATATAGGGGTATACGGACTTTGTGCGCACTCTGTATATATGCAAATAATTCTGCTCCAGAATAATATAAAAAAATGCGTAAAGTATTACGAACAAGACAAAAAGTATTGTACATGTAGGAATGAATGGAAAAGTACACGACTAGTAAATATAGAAATCGAACCATCGATTGAAAAAAACTTGCCTTGGCAATCCTCCTGATGCCCTTGGTCAGTCGCTGCATGATGCTGTAGCTCTTGAGGGAAAGGAATGGAATCAGAGTAATAGAACTAGGGATATAAGATCATTTCTGATTGTGGTTCATACTTTGTGCGTAGTGGACACTTTTAATGGATGGATGCTGTGAGACCTGGAAAAAGGTCTATTTGTGCCTAATGGATGAGCAGAATGGATGAGCCCTTCTCCTTCATCGGATCCTCATTGGGCCACGAGTGGAAAGACTTGGATGATCCGACCCCTCGAAGAACTGATCACGATCCATGTTGACAATGTCACGGAGAAGTAAATAAGAGCAAAAAGGAAAATCTCGCCACATCGTCATGCAGGACTGAGCATATCTGGTGTTACTCTCGTATCTTTATTTTCGAGTGATTGTGACCTGTCAAAATGTTCCATATGTGCTGTACTTAGATAAGATAGACCATTGCATCATATTAGCTGCCTTCTCATGATCTCACCCTTACCTTTTGATATTGCAGACCATTTTGAGAGCATTACGTTTCCAGGGGTAATAAACTGTTACCTAGCACTTCCTGTGGAGTCCTTCGAAGTGAATGGGAATTGACCGTAAGTGGATGGGCACATTTAGAAATCTCCTGATGCCGAAGTCGATCTGATGAAGTGTAAATATGAAGTGATGATTTACACTGATGAAGTGTAAATAATACTAGACCTCACCCGCGTCCAGCTGGATCCACGTCGCTGGTGACAACGTTTCAACAGATATCGAAAACTCAGGTCTAATTTGTAATTAGCAATGAGACAAAATAAATTATTAAAGGGATAACGTTGGAATTTCAAAGTGTCACAAGTAGGATGAATAACAGGGGATGCCTCACGTCATCGGGGAACCCTCAACAGAATGTATGCAAATTCTCAGTCGTACCCGCCTTGTAGAGTGAGGCACGTAGTTGGAATTTCGAACACAAACAGGCATTGGACGAAAGGGATGATTTTGAGCTAGGCACGGGATGCGGATAAACTCTATTGGATCGATATGACACGCTGATTTGGCCGGCAGCTCGGTCCGAAATCAAGTTTCTTTTTTTGGTGCAGGCGAATACGCCATCAGAGGGCCTTTTCTCCATTCGTTTTCTGTGGCTGGCGGAAACATAGCGACTTGTGGTGGAGTGGTCGCAGATCAGAGAGCTGTCTACAATGCTATCTTGGACCTGGTGAATTGGAAAACCGGAGGAATATTATTCCTTGATGCACCAGGTGGAACGGGAAATACGTTTGTCATCGACTTCCTTTTAACCAAAATCCGACTACAATCAAAAATTGCAATTCGGTGGTCGTATTGCTCACTCAACCCTGAAACTGCCTCTTAACCTTGCACATTCTGAAAGTCCTCTTTGCAACATGAGCAAAGGAACAGGACATGCCCAGGTTCTGAAAGAGTGCGAGGCCATTGTGTGGGACGAGTGCACAATGTCCCACAAAGACGCATTGGTGGCACTCGATCGAACCCTTCCATACCCAAGGGGCAACCAGACACTCATGGGTGGGTTTTTTGTAATATTGGCAGGTGATTTTTGTCAAACGCTGCCCGTCATTACAAATGGAACAATGGCCGATGAACTTAATGCTTGCTTGAAAGCCTTATATCTCTGGAGACATGTGCGCAAACTGGGACTTACGACCAACATGCGAGTTCACTTGCAGGGTGATGCGTCTGTTGGCCACTTTGCTCAACAACTGCTCAATGTTAGCGATGGAAAAGTGCCAGTTGACCCAACCAGTAGACTCATCAGCATTTCGAACAGCTTTTGCAATGTAGTAGAGTCAAATGAAGTACTGAAAACCATTGTGTTCCCAAACATCCGTCACCATTTCAAAGATCACAAATGGCTTAGTGAACGTGCCATTCTTGCTCCTAAAAATAACAGTGTGGATGCCATCAACTTACAGATTCAACAACAGCAGTCCTACAACAACAGTAGATCCTACAAGTCAGTCGACACAGTTGTGGATGTTAACGAGGCGGTTCAGTATCCCACTGAGTTTCTTACCTCTCTCTCGAGCCTCCTGGGATGCCGCCACATAACTTGGGGCTAAAAATTGGTTCTCCCATCATGGTCCTGAGGAACCTGGATGCACCAAGACTGTGCAATGGCTTAAGATCATGTGTAAAAAGTCTGATGCCTCACGTCATTGAAGCTACAGTGTTGACAGGCTGCGCAAAGGGTGGGGATGTATTCATACCGCGAATACCTGTCATTCCTACTGACATGCCCTTCGAATTCAAGCGACTGCAGTTTCCAGTGCGTCTTGCCTTCGCGATGTCTATCAATGAAGCTCAGGGGCAGTCGCTTAAGGTTGCAGATATTAATCTAGAGACTCGTTGGTTTTCTCATAGCCAACTGTATGCAGCGTGTTCAAGAGTTGGAACTGGAACGAATCTGTATGTCTTTGCCCCTAATGGGAAAACGAAAAAACATTGTGTATCAAATGGCTTTGCAACGAAAATTTTATTTCAATGTGAACCATTGTCTCAAAGAAGCCCACAAAACGAAAAATGAAAATAAAATTACAAAGAATACGAGGGTTGGATTTTTAATAGTGGAAACACTGTATGAACAACGCTCAGAGATGAAACTGCAGTTTGTGTGAGACAGGGACAGGTGACGGTTGTTTGCATCAAGTTTGGTCTGTATCAAGAGAGTCAGTCGACTGAGAAGTAGTAAGTTTTGAAACAGTTCGTCGTGATACCGCTCTAAGCAATGTTCAACAAGCAGGAGCAGCGATCATGGATAAAAATTGAAGTCGCTCGAGTACGTAATGCTAGAGAGTGCTGGCAGGGACTTCGTGAGGCATGTGGAGAGGGCGCGTTGCCATATCGCACAGTTGCTAAATGGGCGAATGCTTTGAGAAGAGGCCGCGAGAATGTGTCGGATAACCCACGCTCGGGACGCCCATGCGTTGAGCAGGACAAACTGGATCTTGTTGCTTCTCTTTTGCACGTGGATGGACGGTGGACCCTTCGAGAGCTTGCATGCGAAGTTGGTATTGCCCATAAAACCGTATCAACGATTTTGAAGGAGCATCTGCACATGCGTAAAGTTGTCGCACGTTGGGTTCCCCATCATCTCACAGAGGTTCAGAAGTGGCATCGCTTTCAAGTTGCACGCATGCATTTGGAGCGATATGACCAAGAACATGAGCAGGACAAAGTGGATCTTGTTGCTTCTCTTTTGCACGTGGATAGACGGTGGACCCTTCGAGAGCTTGCATGCGAAGTTGGTATTGCCCATAAAACCGTATCAACAATTTTGAAGGAGCATCTGCACATGCGTAAAGTTGTCGCACGTTGGGTTCCCCATCATCTCACAGAGGTTCAGAAGTGGCATCGCTTTGAAGTTGCACGCATGCATTTGGAGCGATATGACCAAGAACGTGAAGCATTCACACATCGCATCATTGCGTTGGACGAAACTTGGGGTCGTTCTTACGAACCGGAACTGAAGCGTCAGTCTTCTGAGTGGCGGCATTCTTCATCGCCACGTCCCAAAAAGCTTCGACAAGAGCCTAGCAACATTAAGGTCATGTTGATTGTGGCGTATGATTGGGAAGGTGTGATACTGTGTCATGCCGTACCTCAGGGTACAACAGTAAATGCTCAGTACTATGCCCATTACTTGCAACACCATCTGGGACCAGCAGTGATACGCAAACGTCCTCAATTTTTTATCGATAAGCCAATCATTTTGCACGACAATGCAAATTGTCGTGTTGCAGCTCCTGTCAAGGATTTATTGCGTCGCTGGGGGTGGGAGACATTAGAACACCCTCCCTATTCA